GCCCTCAACCATCCTTCAGGTCTGAAAAGGAACACACCCTCTTTCAGCCAAGCAGTAGCTAGGGATATAGGAGGACCAACACCAGTAAGCTATGCTCACTGTCAATAACAGAACAGTCAGCCATTCAAAATCAAAGGGGCAACATGTACCTAAGGACAATGGGGAAGGGATGGGAAAGTGGTGGAAGGGAAATAGAAGCCACTGGGAGGAAGCAGACGACTGTTGTTCCACAGAGGGCATTGCAATCACTGAGATGAAAAAGGGGTATGATTTGTTGAATGTAAAACTGCTGACCTTGTCTGTAAACCTTCACTCAATTCACAATAAAAAATTAAAAAAAAAAAAAAAAGAATCAGTTACTGAAAGCCCTATGAAGCACATTTCTAAGGGGACACACATGGGATTGCCACTAGCCTGGATTGACTCAAAGGCAGTTTTGTTATGTTTAAATTGAGGGTTTATAATATGCCAGACAATACTGTATGCTAAACGCCTTGGGATCCTGGTGTGGCATTGTGGGTTAATGCACTGATCTGCAAAGTCAGTTTGAACTGCAAGATCAACGGTTCAAGCTCACCAGCCACTCCTCAGAAATCCTATTCAAGGTTTCTATGAGTTGGAATTGACTTAACGGCACTTTACAACAACAACAGCATACTAAATGTTTTAGCTGCAAGGTCAGCAGTTCAAACCCACCAGCTGCTCCTCAGAAACCCTATACAGGATGGCTATAAATCAGAATTGATTAAACAGGATTTAGCAACATACTAAATGTCTTACACATAATCTATCATATAGTATCTAACAACAGCCCAGAAGGTAAGTAATATATGCCCCATTTTGCAGATGGGGAACAAGAAACTAAGAGGTATTACTTAGACACCACACCAGAACATTTAAAGTAGACTATGGTACACAAATGTAGTCCTGGTGTGGCGCTGTGGGCTAATGTGTCAGACTGCAAAGTCTTTTGAACTACAAGATCAGTGGCTCAAGCTCACCAGATGCTCCTTGGAAACCCTATACAGGGTCACTATGGGTTGGAACCAACTCAACGACACTTAACAACAACAAAAACTTAGCATACAAATAGCACATGATAAGCTGTCTAGAGGATAAAAGGAGAGAAAAGACATTCATTGTGACTTAAAGTATTAAAGATTTGTGAAGATTTTTACTAAACTGGACTCCAGTGGTTCTCAGAACATTTCCATTGTCCTTTGCCTGCCTTGTTTTACACGTGCTATCATCTCTCTCCAGTGTGTCCCTCCCTCCAAGTCCACCTTATACAAGGGAGTTTCAAATATTTCGTGGAAAAAAATGGAATTAAAATATCATGGAATTTTTCCACAAACTTTTTAAAGCCCCTTAGTACTTCTAAGTTCTAAAATCCTTGATTATCTATTTACAGAGCTAACGTCCCTTCATACAAATGAGACTCTTTTCTTTCATTTGTCTACATATAGTTCATTCAATTATAATTCATTTTTATATGTCTGCTCATTCTCCAAGTCCAACGGTGAGTTTCTTAAAACAGGGCACAATCCTTCATCTGCTTACCCTAACATCTGGTATAGTCATTTGTACATAGAATGATCACTGAATTGAATAAAATAATAAAATAACAATTCAAACATCTTACTGAATGCTTGGCATAGACAAGGCAAAATGATTCATACTTTGCATGTATCATCTCATCTAATCTCACCAGCTCCTTATTTTACAGATGAAGAGCTAATATTCAGAGAAGTTAAGTAGCTTGTCCAAAAAAACCAAATATTTGGGGTGGAGAGAAGGGTCCAGGTCAAAAAATAAAATTAGCAAAGTATCCCAAAATGTGTTCCTATGCTAAAATGTCTTTTGGATTATTTATGATAGGGAACTCTCCGCTTACACCCTTCCTAACTGCACTGAACTCTCAAGGTAGATCTTCTTTGCTATCCTATAATTTCCTCCTTAATCAAGGCCCTAATTTCCTAGCCCCACTTCGCTGCTTCTTTCTAGAATCCCAGAGATCTTTTTAGTGTCTCCAGGGACTCTCCACTTTCAGCTGGGACTCTCATAACAAAATAAATGCTCCAACTCTTTTGCTCACTCACACTCTAAATCCTGCAGGACCTGAGATTCTACTCTTACTCCCTGATGCTAGATATGGTAAGGTGGCCCATGTGCTCAACCCTTCAATAGATACACTGTGAGCAGACCAAAGAACTCACCACCAATAAGATAATTTCTTCACTGAGGTGGTCTCCCCTTCAAATAACAGGCAAATTATACTTTTTGACCACTTCTGTGTGCCAAGTAATGTAATTGGCTCTTTATGAGTATTTTCCATGATAATCTTGGTTTGGAAGTTATTTGATAGGCAATGAAGTAAGACTTAACCTCTCCAGGTCACAGGTGAGAAATTAGGTTGAGAGAGGTTAGGTGATTTTAACAAGATCACACAGTTGATAAATGGTAGAGCTGGATTTGGATTGACCTGCGCTTGGTTTTTTATTCAAGAGTACTGACTTCTTGGCAGGTGGCTTTCAGATGCTCATAAGCACATATGGGAATGGGATGAAGAATTTGTTCTTTTCTTTTTGAGGCAGACTTTTTCCTAGTATTTGAACTTTTATTACATATTTTAGGTAAGATCTTTCCTATACAAAATGCCAGGATACAAACTAGGGTTATTCTGTAAGAGTTATCTGGAGAGGGCTGGGAATCTTTCCTTGTCTGACCCCAAGAATTTGTATAGAATAGGTTGAGGGAGTCTAAACCTCTAAGTCCTCACTTTGACTTCTTTTCTGGATGCTGGGCATATTGTGCCCAGCTTGGGCTCTTTCAACTTCTGTTTTACCATCTGTGTGAATGGAAATGGGGCAGGGGAGTCAAGGAGGGAGTGAGAATTTAAGTTCCTTGAGTGGCAGTAGGAACTAAGGAGACCTGATTCAATTGTGAAAATGCAAAGGTGGAAGAGAAGGAAGGGAGAAAAAGCCTGGTTGTCCCAGTAATGACCGCATTATTCAGCTCTTGATTCTCCACAGCAAAGGAAGAGCACTGAAGCATGGAAATCCCCAAAACAATGCTTAACTTCCCTCTGGGGACCTTTGAACCCAGGCTGGGTGTTAGAAACACAGAGAGAGGTGTAGCACCCAAAGACAAACAGGACACACATGGAAGAGGGGACGATGAGACAAAAAGAGGTGAAATCATTTATTCAGTATCTTAGTGACAATTAGAGTTAGTATCCAGTCCCAAATTCTGATCCAAAGTTCCTTCCCCATATCACATTAGAGTCCTTACTCTTTCCCTTCCTTCCTCTTTCCCAAAGCAGTTTCATAGAACCTCTGGGTGTGGGTACGTGATAAGGATTGCAGAGATTATTGCATTTTAAGATTGTTGTTGTTGTTGTGAAATGCCGTCGAGTCGGTTCCGACCCATAGCAATCCTGTATAGGGTTTCTGAGAAGCAGGTGGTGATCTTGAACCGCTGACCTTGCAGTTCAAATGACTTTGCGTCTGGTGCATTAACCCACAGCCCCACACATTTTAAGATAGGGAGTGGAAATCAGCTATCCCCATTGGGTCCATTGGGAGCATTGTGGCTCTGTCGGCTAAGCACTGGACTGCTAAACACAAGGTCCACAATTTGAGCTCAGCAGTCACTCCAGACAAGAAAGATGAGGTTTTCTGTCCTGCAAAGAATCCTAGTCTTAGAAATCCTATAGAGAGTCATTATGAGTCATAACCAACTTGATGGAACAGAACACCTTAACAACACAGGATCCAACTGGTTTCACTAGCTCTGTTCAACTGGCAACCAGAGCACAGTTACATACCATGACAAGCTCTTACAAGAAATGCATTTCTCTCTTTTTCTTTCTACATTTTTACCCTCTCCTAGGTTTCTTTCCGGCCTTTCTCATATTTCCCTTTTATCTTTATCTCCTTTCTCTTTCCACTTTTTTGTTTGCTCTTCCCTTCTTTCCCAAATTGTCATTTACTAACTAGACACTGGACAAGATACAAATGAGAAGGTACACATATGAGAGGGAATATTCAGGTACACAGAGTGTGTGTACTGAGGAGATGGGGTGGAGATGTGCTCGGCACTGTCATTTGACCAATCTTGGTCTCCACATCTGCTTACAGGAAATGATGCCATGTTCCCAGTGACTAAAATTCACTCCCATCCTCTTTCCTGCACACCTTTCATTTCCTGAGAGAATATGCTTTGTATGTAGTCATCTCTCTATTATTTTATCAGCTCACATATCATGACCTGATCAGCCTTTTCCGTCACTATTTGAACAAGTCTGCATGATTCCACCTGCTTCTATCAACATAGGACACCTGAAGCAAGCACTAAACACGAAGCAAATAAACTTAATGATTGTTGAAGACTGAAAGAGACTCAATCCTTACCATGTACTTGACTTTTCCAGTCAGAATCCAGGTTCTGACAATGGTATAAAAATCTGCCCCAGATCTCCCTTTCTTCCCTTCATTTCTCCATAGTTTTGATCTTCTTTCATTTGAGTCTGCCACCCAATATGGCTGGCCTTTGATCATCATGTCATCCTTATATTGTCACATGGGCATATGAATCAGGAGAAAATAACACTAGAGAACAGGCGGACAGGGTTTACAGACAGAAAGAAGAAACCTGCAAGAGTCTTTAGCCCTTCACCTTCACCATCATGAGGATTCTGCAGCCATCAAACGCACACCCTCCCTGTCAGTCTAGAGATCACTAAAGCAGACAGAATTGGCAAGGCATCTTTTGAATCTGGGGGATGGTAACTTCACAACCTGTCTTGCATCATTTCCCAATGCCCTACAATCTTCTCATCCTGGATATGTCTCATGAGGTCTAGCTCAAATTTTTCCATCTGCCATTTTAGTTTCAGTCACATCATAAGGATGAATCCCAGCTGCTTCATCTTCCAGGGGTTCCCAGGGCTCAGAGCAAGGCAGTAAGATCTTCTCTGTCCACCTGACTTTGGCCTAGCCATGCACCATGCAAATCATAGCCATCAGAACCCAGCCTCCTTCCTGCTCATGGGAATTCCTGGGCTGGAGGCATTTCACTTTTGGATTGCATTTCCCTTTTGCTCCATGTATGCCTTGGCAGTACTTGGGAACATAGCAGTGCTGCTGGTAGTACGCTCAGAGCCTACACTGCACCAGCCCATGTACCTATTCCTATGCATGCTGTCCATCATTGACCTGGTGCTCTGTACCTCCACTGTGCCCAAGCTCCTAGCACTCTTTTGGACAAAAGCTGCTGAAATTGCTTTTGGGGCTTGTGCTACCCAGATGTTCTTTATTCATGGCTTCTCAGCTGTAGAATCGGGCATCCTGCTTGCAATGGCCTTTGACCGCTACTTGGCCATCTGCCGGCCATTACACTATGGCTCACTACTGCCCCCAGTGGCTGTGGGCAAGCTGGGAGCTGCTGCTGTGCTCCGTGGCCTGGGGCTCATGACCCCACTCACCTGCTTACTGGCAAGGCTGAGCTACTGTAGCCGAGTGGTGGCCCACTCCTACTGTGAACATATGGCAGTAGTAAAGCTGGCTTGTGGGGGCACAAAACCAAATAATATCTATGGCATCACTGCTGCCACGCTTGTGGTAGGCACTGACTCCATCTGCATCGCTGTCTCCTATGCACTCATCCTGCGGGCTGTGTTAGCCCTCTCCTCCAAGGAGGCAAGGACCAAGACTTTTGGCACCTGTGGCTCCCATCTGGGTGTCATTCTGCTCTTCTACACACCTGGACTCTTCTCGTTCTACACACAGCGTTTTGGCCAGCATGTACCCCGGCATGTCCACATTCTTCTGGCTGACCTATACCTAATCGTGCCACCCATGCTCAATCCCATCATCTATGGCATGAAGACAAAGCAGATCCGAGATGGGGCTCTCCGACTACTGAAATGGAGCCCTAATCAATCATAAAGTCTTCAATACAGCCCTGAAGACCTACACTCTCCTTCTCTCAGCTTTGGGCACTATTTGGGATACGCATGACTCCCAGCATGACTCAAAGACAGAAACCCATCCTCACTAGCATCCTTGCTTTTACAGGGAGGCATAGCACAAGTCAGAAGGGGAAAAACAAACAAAGCGATTCTTCCTTCTGAGGTAGATATGGATAAAACACTCACGTAACCTCTGTCTAATAAGACAGTTTACCTAACAGCCTGATGATAACCTTCCAGAAAATCTTATCCTATTATTCTGACATGAAAACGATATGAATATTGGTCTGACAAAATGATTTCTCATACATAGGTAGGTGATACTACTCAGAGATACCTCTCAGTGAACACAGAGTGTGACTTAGGACACATACAAACACAGAGAGAATAAGAGACAGAGCATTAAGTCAGATAATGCTGTAACAACTGGATAGCTATTGTTTTTGTTGTTATGTGCCATGGAGTCAGTTCCGACTCATAGTGACCCTGTGCAGGGTTTCCAAGGCTGTAAATCCTTACGGGAGCAGAAAGCCTCATCTTTCACCCATGGAACAGCTGGTAGTTTTGAACTTCTGACCTTGCAGTTCACAGCCCGATTTGTAACCACTACGCTCTGGTAGCGTAGTGGTTACGAATCGGGCTGCGAACCTTAAGGTCAGCGGTTCGAAACTACCAGCTGCACCGCGGGAGAAAGATGAGGCTTTCTACTCCCGTAAAGATTTACACCCTCGGAAACCCTGTACAGGGTCGCTATGGGTCGGAACCAACTCGACGGCACTTAACAACAACAACAACAACGCTACTATAGACACAACAATAAATGAAGAAGAATCGTGGACAAATTATCCAAAAGAATAAGCATCAAATGCAATATCAGTTTAGGAAAGTTCTCTGGAAGATGAGCTTTGATGTTTTCATTGAGCATGTACTATGGGTTATTTTTGCTAAAATATAGACTTTATCAGGCCAAAAGTCCTTCTCGCAAGGTGACAATTCACCATTAGAAGAGACAAACATAAGGAGACAGTGACCAAACAGAATTAAACTATTATGATTAGGGTAAATGCAGGAACTGTGGGTACAGAGTAAGGACTAATTTGCTCAGAGGAAGTGAGGACCCACCTCTATAAAAGTATAAAAGGCCACTTCCTTCCAGATAACTTAAACTGACACCATCTAGATAATTTTTCCTTCATTCCAGGACTCAGCACACATGAGATTAATAGATTCAATTTTCTTAGGTTATCAGACAATCCAAGACCACAGACTGGCAAATAAAGTCAGGATATTTAACACAAACTATAAAGGAAGTTAAGAAGAAAGCTGACTACAGCTATTTGAGATTATACTGATTAATGTTTTAATTGATCCACACATCACATTTATATGCGCTATAACTTATGTAAACTAACATGCACATGTATTAAGTGTCTATTAAGTAAATCAGGAGAACTGGTGGGAGAAAAGACCTGGCGATCTGTTCCAGTAAAAATTACAGCCGAGAGCAGTTCTACTCTGTCCTACAGGGAATCTCTGAGTTATAATTAACATAACAGCATACAACAAAAGCAACATGAAGTTGATAGATTGATTATCTCTGACAAAAGTATATTCACCACCCCAACCAATAACTTCATAACCTCAGAAGATATTCCTTGTGCTTCTTTTCAGGCAATACTTCCACTCCCCAACTATTTGATTTTGATCACCTTGAACTAAATTTGTTGTTCCAGAAGTTCATATAATGAAATGATACAGAATGTTTTATTATATGAACTTCTAGAACAGCAAATTTACAACAGTTGTGTCCAACTGCTTCAGCCTACCATAAGGTTTTTGTGATTCATGCATGTTCATTGGTTTAAAAAAAAAAAAAAAATGCTTTCCTTTTTCATTGCTGAGTAATGTCTTATTATACGAATATACCAAAGTTAGTTTAACCATTAACCTCTTAGACACCCAAGATATTTCCCATTTTTGATTATTCTAAAAAAACAAAAGTTTCTATGAATATTGTTTATCCTAGAAATGGAATTTTTGAGCTACAGGACAGATGTGTGCCTAACTTTAATAGAATCTGCCAAATAATTCCAAAGAACCATTCTGTACTGTCACCAGGGATATATGACCATTCTCAGTTGTTCACTATCCTGGCCAGTGCTTGGTAATGTTGTTCATTTTAGCCATTGTGATTTTGACTTGTATTTACTTCATGATTAATGGCATTGAGCAACTTCTCATATATTCTCTGATCATGCATACGCTTATTTGAAAAGTTTCTTCAAGACATTTGTCCATTTTTATTGTTTTCTAGGTGTTTTTTTTTTTTTTATGATTTGTACTAGCTGTTAATGTATTCTGAATACAAATCACTTGCCAGGTATATGTAGTAAAAATATTTTATCTGATTTTTGGCTCGTATTTTTTATTTTCTTACTGGTATTCTTTGATGAAAAGACATTTTTAATTTTGATTAAGTTCAAGTCATCAATCTTACTCATAATTAGTACTCTGTTTTATAAATAACAGCTTTTAACGTCAGGTCCATGATTCAACACAAATGATACTTATGTATGGTATGAGTTGATGATATTGTTGTTTAGTGCCTTTGAGTTGATTCTGACTCCTAGTGACCCTGTACAGGATTTGCAAGAGCAGAAAGCTTATCTTTCTCCTGTGGGCTCGAACTACCAACCTTGTGGTTCACACTCAAGTGTTTACCATATGGATCCACTGCTCTCCATGGTATGAGAAGAGATCAAGATTTATTTTCTTCTCCTATAGGTATTCAGCTGTTATAATATTATTTGTTTAAAAGTCATTCTTTTCTGAACTAGTTTGCTTTGGCAATGTTGTAAAAAATCAACCACTTCTTTACTTGTGTATGTATTTCTAGATTCTTTTTTGTTTTGTTAATCTGTCTGTCTTTATGTCAATAAAGACTTGATGTTGTTGTTAAGTGCCATCCAGTCAGTTACTACTCATAACAACCCTATATAAAGTTTCCCAGGACCTTATGGTTCAAACCAATCTTGTGGTAGAATGCTTATCCTACAGCACCACACCAGGACTTTTTAGTAAGTCTCAAAATGAAGCCTTGCAAATCTGTAAACAATCTATTTTTCACAGTATTGTTATTGCCAGGTGCCATCCGGTAGGTATCGACTCATATCGATGCACAATAGAACCACACACTGATGGATCTGGCACCAACCTGACAACCATTGCTACACTTGAGCCCATTGTTGCTGCCACTGTGCCAATCCATCTCATTGGGGGTCTTCCTCTTTTTTGCTGACTTTCCAATTTACTAAGCATGATGTCCTTCTGTAGGTACTGGTCCTTTCTGGTAATATGTCTAAAGTATAATAGACAAAGTCTGGCCATCATGGCTTCGAAGGAGCATTCTTACTATACTTCCAACTGATTGGTTTGATCTTTTGGCAGTCTGTGGTACTTTTAATATTCTCCTCCAACACCATAACTCAAATGCATCAATTCTTCTAAGGTCTTCTTTATTCACTGTCCAACTTTCACATGCATATCAGATTATTGAAAATACCATGGCTTGGATTAGGCTCATCTTAGTCCTCAAACTGACATCTTTGCTCTTGAACACTTACAAGAGGTCTTGTGAAGCAGATGTGCCTAATGCAATATTTAGCTTGATTTCTTGATTGCTGCTTCCATGAGTATCGATGGCTGATCTGAGCAAAATGAATTCTTGGGCAACTTCAATCTGTTCTCCATTTATCATGATGCTATTTATTTTCCACAGTGAGTAGGGCTATTATATATAGGCTCTTTAAATTCTCTTTTACAATTTAGATTCAGTTTACTAATTTCTACAGAAATCACTACTAGGTTTTGACTGCATTATTTTAATTTCTTTTTCTTGTCTTACTCCACTGACTAAGACCTTCAACTAGAAGTAGTAAGACAGACATCCTTGTACTTGTATCTGATCTTTCAAGGGAAGGATTCAGTCTTTCATCATTAAATATTACTTAACTGTGAGTGTTTCATAGATATCCCTTATGAAGTTGAGAATATGCCCTTCTTTTCTTAGTTATTGAAAGGTTTTATCCAGAATGGTGCTGAATTTACTCAAATAATTTTTCTATACATATTTATATAATCATATGATTTTTTTCTCCTTCATTCTCTAATTCAGTGAGTTGTATTGATATATTTTTTAATGCTAAATTTCCTTACATCCCTGGTATAAATACCAATGACTCATAATATATTATCCTATTTAGACATTGCTGCATTTATTCTAATAATATCTTAATAAGAATATTTGTGTGTGTTCATGAAATATATTGGTCTTATAATTTTCTTTCTTTTAATGTCCTTATCAGGTTTGTATATTAGGATTTTGTTTGCTCATAAATTTATTGGAAAATATTTCCTTCTACTCTATTTTCTGAAATAAAATTCCATCAAATTCGTTTCCAAGGAGTGGCTAGTGGGTTTAAACAACCAAACTTTTAGTTGTCATTTGTTGTTAGGTGCCATTGAGTCAGTTCCAACCCATAGTGACCCTACGTACAATAAAACAAAACACTACCTGGTCCTGTGCCATTCTTAAAATTGCTACTACACTTGAGCCCATTGCTGCTGCCACTGTGCCAATCCATCATGATCTCTTCTGTTAATATGTCTGAAGTATGGGAGACGTAGTTTGGCCATCTTGGATTCTAAGGAGCACTCTGGTTGTACCCCTTCCACCACAGATTTTTTTTTTTCTTATGACAGCCCATGGTACCTTTAATATTCTTCTCCAACACAATAACTCAACTGCATCAATTCTTCTATCATCTTTCTTAACAATTCTTCTTATCAATTCTTCTACAGTCCTCCTTGCAGTTAGCAGTCCAGTACTGATCCTACACCAGAACTACGATGGTTTTGTGCATATGCCCTTAATTATGTTGAGGAGTTTCCCTTCTATTTCTATTTTGATAAGCTTTA